ACACGGGATGGCTACGGAGGGGCAAGAATAATTGTGAACATGCTTCCTGCGTTGATTAGAGCAAAGGGAGTCACTGTCATGGGCTCATGCAAATGCTTTCTTGGCTGCCACATTATCACTCCACCAGGAAAACCTTGACAATGCCCCTAAAGCAGCCAATTCAGAACCTAGGAGGGAAATACAGCCCAGTCCTGAAGTGTTCCGATCCACCAGACAGGTCAGCAGATTTAATGCAACCTGGAACCTTTGTGATGTCTTTTGGTTTATATACCTGGGAATGATTATTTATTGCACAATAGGTCCTCCACAGTACAGCCAGCTCGCCTTAATCAAGTAGCAAAGAGCTTCCCTAAGCCTTTGTTCCATTTTCTAGAGTAAACCTATTGTTCCCTTTCTTCTAACCCATCCTGAGTATAACTTCAGAGCCAATGATCATTCAGCATGATCACAGATCTAGCATTGTTATAAATAAGCCACCATGGCTTATTTTCCCTGTGTGTGCCACTTGTGAGTCACTTAATTAGCACAGTTATCCTTGCTGGGTGCAGACTGTTGTGATGTCCAAGCACAGTAAGGGTGAGTGGTTGGGATGGTTTACAGATCACCCTGAATCCTGGTTTGCTCAGCATTTTTCTTTTTGATTCTTGTCTTGTTGCCAACATAGTTTGCATTAAAAAAAAATCAAAGACATGCTATTTGAAGTGCACATTGTATTGTATATGCATCCCCAGGGATTTTACTGCTTTCAGTTCACATAAGAATAATCTCTCAAAAAAAAATCACCACAGAGTTCAAAACACCAGGGAAAATGGATAAAAAAGGAAAGTCAAAAGGAGCCAAGAAAGATGCACTGGGAAAGAAACAACTCAGCCAACACCCCATCTTCAGTGCAAGATTCCATTCTGTGTAGGTCATCTGAACTGTATCACTCACATCAATGCACCAATATATTAATATTCTGTCTGGTTAATTTAGAGGCTAGGACTATGATATTTTGTACACTTAAGCAAAACCAACATCAGTTAATATACATAGACTCAAGAAGCAGTTTGTTGCCAAGACAGCAAAGAAAGCAGAATAGCACAGGAATGTGTTCACACACACACAAACTGTAGGAGAATGTAGGTTTTAAGGAATTGTTTTTGATGGTTTTATGAATGACATTGGTATTGAAGGAAGAGCAGTCCAGCATGACAAAATACACATTTTTAGTTCTGTGTCAGAATATTTTATAGTTACTAAAGCCTCCATTTGCAATATTTATTTTTTTAAACATACTGATTTCAGCCAGCCTTTGCTAAAATTTAGGCTTTCAACCTTTAAGGTTGCAGTCCTACACTTACCTGGGAGTAAGTACCAATAAACTCCCTGGGGCTGAATTTTTAGCAGATGTGCATAGGACAGCATTGTCACCTCATTATAATGTTGCAGCGTAAAAACAATAAAGCAACTAGATTACCTACATTTTGATTTTATCATCTGGAAGTTGCAAGCATTGCTACATTTGTAGCATTGCTACAGTTCCAAAAAAACGTTTTTTTATTTTATTTTCATAGCCAAACAGTTCATCAGAAGCAAAGGCAACCAATAAAAAAACCTGATTCCTAATGTTACAAAGCAAAATTTCCCAAATAATTATTATAATATTTTATGAAACTAACTCAATGGTCACAAAATACTCTGAAAGCTTCCGAGTTCCCCAGAACTCTTCCGCAGTTAAAAACAACAACAGAAGATGAGAAAGAAGAAAAAGTGGCTGATCTTCAAGTCATGAGGTTATAGTCATAAGATCAAAAGTAGGAGGAAGTTGCAGACATTCAAATTAGGTTCTACCAGGTACATATAAAGTTTCAGGTTGCATCTTGGACCCTTCCAAGGGTTGCTGCAAAGAACAAACATGCAATAGTTGATCACCCATTTCTGAAAATAGAACATCTGACTGTTAACTCAAGAATCATCTCCATCCTTAGATAGCATGCTGAGGTAGAAAACAGAAAAGAACTCAGAAAGCTTTTATATAAAACAAAGCTGGATAAAATTTTAGTCATTTTATTAGTCAAAAATATCAGTGGAAGCCACATTTTGATACATACTGGTGTCATCTCAATTGAAATTTTGAGCAGAAAATGAAACAATAACTTTAGAAATCTCGTAAGTACATTTCTTGGGTTAAGTTGCTCCTGAACCTTTAAGAATGTATTAATTCTAGAAAACAAAACCCTCATTTTGCGGTTATCTTATCTAAGCCTCTTCAACTCCCTTCTGATAAGCTGAGATAAACAAACTAGCACAGACTATAAACACAGGAAAGATGCTCTGTTGTTACCCATGCATCCCCTAGTACAACTTAACAGAACTTAGGTTAGGATCTACTAGTAGTCTGCTGGGTGATTTTAGTGGATCCACAGGAATTTTTCATTTCCAACTATTTAACAAAAGTTATAACAGGAAATTCCTGCTCAGTCATGTTGTCATTAATCCCCAATCTGAGCTGATCAGCAACAGATTTGTATTTTCATGTGCAGATCATCCCAGTAGACCATTCACTGATCCATCATTTTGCATATGGTAGCTGACTCTTACAGTTGCATTAAAACAACTGTAGCTCCTTCAAGCCTGAAGCCTGCTTACACAATCATTTTGGGTGTAAAAGTCACCCAACATGGTGCTCGTATGTGCATATGTGTGTTGGGAAAGTGAAACAATGAGAGAGGAAAAAGTGGATGTATTAAATCCAGTTTCTCTCCCACTTCTATCAAATCAAGGTGTTAATGAATTCCTTTGGTAGCAATATTTCAATATTTCACCTTGTACGGTGACAAGACCAAAAAAGGCACCAACAAATTTTACACATCCAAATTGCTTGTGTATAGCTGCCACAACTTTCTAACCAGATTAAAAAGTCTGTTCACAAAGAGCAAAGAATCTACCGTGCTGTTAGCGATCAATTTCTTACTACTCAACTTGTTTGGCTCAAATCCCAGCATTCCTGCCATTTTCTAATTATATGTACCTGAAATTATCTCCTAATGATTTCAAACAGATTTACACCCATAATAGCATACTTAGAACTGACATTGAAACTGTATTTATAGAGCCTTATTTATCTGGGAGCATTTTATATTGTTCTGATAACTGGGATCTTCTGAATGGAGGTCTGGAGTGGCAACAGAAAGAATAGTAATGCCTGGGGATTCAGGGAGGAGTAACTGGTTTACTTAAGTAGAAAATATTTCAGAGTTGAAGCAAGGAGAAACAAGTATGCACCTACAGCCACACCAAGTAGCACTCATATTCAAAGGAGAGCAATGAAAAAAAAAAATGTTACCCCACCCTCAGCATTGTGAAATCAACAAGATGATCGGTCAACTTCAGATAGTTCCACTTGACAATGGCCTCTAAGAAGTCATAATGCAATACATTTATTGGTGGCAATTTCTGATTTAGCAGTTTCTTAAACAGCAACAGCAACAAAACTACTTGGTCGCCTCAACCTGCAGGAACTGAGGAGTCCAACAAGTTCTATACACCTGTTTGATTCCACCAGTTTCCCGAGACACACCTTTAGTTGAGCAGGTGAATTCTATGTTCTGACAAGTCTAAAAAATGGAGGAGGGAGCTAGTCCTGCCTAGCATCATTCCAGTAGTCATGCAATTTGCATAAATATCTGGGAGCACATTCAAATGTCAGAATTCACTGTGCAAAGTGCAGAAAGATATGGGTGATTACACATCAACTACAACCTCCAACCCGTTAATTAATAAAGACCTAAGGCAGAAGATAGGCTGCCAGAGGAGTGGAACACCTTAGAGCTTAGTGCCAGTACTCACTTTCAATACTTTTGGTACAATAATAAAAATGCAAAAGTCCTGAGGATTTCTCGAGGATATGACCCTAGAAAATTTCTCTGTGCACATCATGTGCAAACCTATAACCCAGTTTTAGAGGACAGGCCTTCACTGGTGCATGCAGTCACACACAAAAGTAAATGAGGTGCTGGCTTTCCTCAGCAGGCCAGAATAACATCTCAGACTCCAGGTGTGACGTAGAAATGGCAAAGGAAATCATGTGATAAGTCAGTAGTGGTCTGAGTGCCTGGAACAGACCTTTCCTGCAGCAAAGCACATTAGCCTAGGGCTCCCACAGACTAGATGCAAGGCATTCCACATAAAGTCAACACATTTAAAAGCATCTACCATGTGAGTGAGAACATTTAAAAGTTACCATGCAACAGCAACCGCAGTGCTAGATTGGAGAGCGAAAGCTCAAACCCTGCTCAAACATGAAGTACAACAGTCCTGGGGGAGTGACTCTTTCTCCACCTAACCTACTTCACAGGGTAATTGCCAGACAAAACTGGGATGGGGCAAGGAAAACTATGTGTCCTGCCCTCACCTCTTGGGAGGGAGAAAGGTTATGAACATATAAACACCTGCATATTTGGTTTTACAATGCCAGCATTGTACTTGTGCAGGTTGCTGACGTGCCAGTGTGGTAAATGCAGTTAAACGTGGCCCAAGCGGTAAGAGCATTAATAAATGAGAGGGCTTTTGGAAAGCTTTCACAGGTAAGAGCTAAGTCTGTTCCTGGCAAAGCAAGGTCTCCTTGAAAGCCCTGCTCCGTAATGTCCGTGAGCAATCTACAGTTATTTAAATAAGCGTGGAGGGAAAAGCACTTGCACATGCTCAGAGAAGCCTTTCCCTTTGCTACTTCGTAGTTTACTTCGTATCTTCCAAGGGGCCCCTAGCACTGTTTCTGGGCCCGAGCCGACCTGGCCCCGATTTTCAAGCCCCTCACAGGCTGCCAGCTTTCTGCGTGAGCAGAGGAGGGGCGAGGGCAGCCGTGGATTCTCGCGCACCTTTTGCCCCCCAGTCTCCCCCCACACACACACACACGTCGTGCACAAGAGCTCAGCCCTCTCTGTGCACCTGCTGCCCTCGCAAAGCGAGCGAGCTCCTTCCCGGCTGGGCGCTTCCTCCGGCAGCGCGCCGTTCCTCACCTGTCCCGCGGGTCAACCCAGCTGGTAGTCTTGGTGCGGTGGTCGATATAATAGACTTTGCCGTCGAAATCGCGAGCTTCCTCCCAGCCTTCGGGCAAAGGCAGCTCCTGCCTGGGCATCTTCGGGACGGACCGAGCCTAGTGGCGGCGGCGGCCCCATGCAAAGGGCTCAGTAACCCCCCGCCCAGCCTAGCAGCTGGCACGGCGGGTCGGGGCAAGGGGCCGCGGCGGGCAGCGAGGCGGCGACGAGGCGGCGGGGGACTCGCATGCTCAGCCGGGGCGGGGGAGCGGAGCGGCGCTGGCTGGGGAGGAGGCTCTTCCAGGTACTGCGAGCTCCGCCAGAGCCCGGGCGAGCGCGGATGGCCGTCCCCGCCTAGACGCCACGAGCCACTGCCGCTTCCCTCTCACTTCTCCATCGCCTCGCCGCAGCAGCCGCTTCCAGAAGCCCAGCTAAGAGCGAGCGGCGCTCCTTAAAGCGACCGAGCTCACCCGCTCCTCCAGCGACGCGCGGCCGCTCGCCAGCCAGCCAGCCAGCCAGCCAAGTTCTCGCTCGTCTACAACCTGTGAGACTCTGGCGATAACGCCGCCGCCGCCGCGTCCTGGGCTCGTTCCTCCCCTCCTCCCCGCTTGCCGGTAATACTGTAATGCAGGTAGTAGTAGAGCAGGAGCAACTGTATTTAAAAAAATGTGGCGGCGGCGGCTATTACTGTAAACACGGCCGCGCTGGAGTCAAGCTCCTCCTCCTGCCGCCGCCGCCGCCGCCCAGGGCAGGCAGCCAGAAAGGAACGAGGAGTCATCAGCAGTCTTGACCCCGGCCAGGTTGGGGGTGGCCGAGCCCGGAGGAGCGGGGCTGCACGTGCACCGTCCCGTCCGCCCCCCTCCCCCCCGCGCATGAAAGGGCAGGGCTGGGACTTTGCAAGGGAAAGTGGGTGAAGGAGCCGCAGGACGGGGCGCTCGCCCACCGGGTCTTTGTTCGCGGTGGGGAGTCCTCAGGGCTCTTGGGGCTGACGCCCCGAGGCTGGCGGGCTGGGCAGAGCTGTGCCTCGGCTTCTGCTAGCCTCTGAGCCGGTCACAAGAGAAAGACTGTGCGGCGGCGGCGGCTTTCCCGCTTGCTCCGGCGAGGCCTGCCGTAGAGCTGGGTGGGAAGACAGTGCCAAGCTCTGCACGCGAAATGTCAGGACCATGTGCGGATGCACTGTCGCCATGACGGCCCTCCGGGGAGCGGGTCTTGGAGGTGGACTACTCGCCACTTCTCTATGGAGAAAGGGCACCGCACTTGCAGCTCCTCCTTACAGGCGTCCTTAACTGGTGGAGCGCTACATTTTGAAGTGCAGGCGCCGGTCGTGACAGTCCTCATGGCAATGCCCCCAAGGAGAGTCCAAAAATTCAGGTAGCTGTGCTGATCCATATCAGGAAACCAGTTCTAGCGGTTTTCACCGTCACCAGGAGCAGGTCTTTTGTAAAGCAAATGGGTGTTAATTGTCTGTGCAAAACCAGGTCACTTTGCAATAAAACAGAATATAATGTGTGGGGGGTCGTTTTTCTTTTACCCCTCCCTCCCCATGTTGTGATGCTCACAAAGAGAACAGGATATGGGGGCAGTTTGTCAGCCTCCCTACAAAGTGCTTGAGCAGTGTCCCTGCAAAACCCCTGCTCCACTATGCCAGGTATGTTGCTTTGGGCAGTTGACAAGAAGAAAGGAAAGACTAAAGCAACAAGCTGCTGAACACCCAGAGACATAAGCTTATGATGAACTATTTCCTATTATACAGTTTTTCAAACTGAAAACATTTGAACAACCCATCACATGATAATGTATACAACAGAAGTGGAAAAACTGAGTGCAGCTCGGTAGTGCAAAACTTTGCTTGACCTGTGCTCCATCGTTTGTTGTATTTAGTCGTAAAGTCATGTCAGACCCATCATGACCCCATGGGCAACATTCCTAGGCACTCCTGTCCTCCACCATCCCCCGGAGTCCATGCGCAGTCATATATGCCACTATTTCTCAAATACAGAGTATTCAGAAAGTAAGGTTGTATCCTACCAATTATAGGGTTGCCTCAAGATAAATCTTATATACATGTGGAGGAAAAGCAGTAATAATAGGCACATAACATGGCTAGGATGTGACCCTTTAACTGATTGTCACTGTAGTTCCTCTAGTGTAGGTCAGAGGGCAGGGTGCTTCCATGTGAAGTGTAATGCCTGAATTACAGTTCTGCTCCTGCCACATGATTCCTCCTCCTCCTCCTCCTCCTCCTCCTCCTCCTCATCATCATCATGGCAGCCATATACTGCTTCCAGGTCAGAGGCGCCATTTCCCTAGCTAGCCATTGCCATTATATCCTGCTTCTGGGCTTTTCAGACATATCTAATTAGCCAAGGAGGGAAAGAGGATGTTGTATTAAATGAGCCTCTGGAGTGTTGTGCTTATGTTCTTAGTCCTGGTACAGACTGCCAGTCTCCAAGCATTTTAACCATTGATTCTGTGCAACAAACTTAAAAGTGGGACCGTGCCACAAAACATTGCAGTGTGGCTGTGGCTTGATTATGTTCAAGAGCTTCCCGCCACTTTCTGCTTTTCATCTCCCCCACCCATTCTGTCAACATTGTGTGCCTGCTCTGCATTCTCAGGTTCCTTCACCTGTTTGGGGCTTTTTCTCCATTTGGGTTATCCACTTTCTTCAGTTGTGTTGCTTGTGTAGACACGCTTGTGTACATTCCCAACCACTTCCAATAATTGCTGTGCCAACAGAAACATCTTCATTATTATATATAGCTATGTGCATGTTTCCTCTTACCATTACAACCGCTCCTTTCTATTTCACCTCAGCACCTGCCTGCTTTATTGCTTCTTTGTGGTTGTTGAGGATAGTAACAGTAGCAGCAACTGATGTACAGCATACAAGAAACCCTCTTTGAGGTAGGCAGGAAAGTGACCATCTTTCATCATTTAGTGCATCCATTTCTTTAGTGTTTGTTCTGACGATTCAACAACAACAGAAACACCTTATAAAGAAATGTAGCAGGTAAAGCTCCTTGGATCAGTACATGTATTTTGGTCTTCGGTGCCCTCTTCTGCCAAGTATCCTGGAGCCAAAATAGATTGCTACATCTTCCTCCTCCCTTAATTCTTACTTTGGGTGAGGTGCAGGTCTACATATCTGGATTGGGCTCACAGTGGGGAGAGTTAAAGGCCTCCAACCTCTCAAATTCCATATTCCATATCCAAACTAGATTGGGGCAGCTGTGCTTCCTGTCAGAATAAAAATTGTGTCAGGATACAGTTGCTTGATAGGGATCTAAAGTAATTGTTTCAGCCCTCCGTTCTAAATTCACCTGCATAAGTTTATTTAGAACAGCTGCTATCCAAATCCTACTGCTAACATACTGCTAATGATTTTTTCTAGTGTTACATTAAAAAAATAGTAGTGATCTCTATCCTATTTTAACATTCAAAAAGTTGTACTTTTTTTCTACCTAAAATTGCAGGCTATTTTAATGTGTTTTTTTAAAGATAACTTTTCCTGTGTGTTTTAAAAAGTTCACTCATGTGTTAACTATCAGAGATTAAATTGTTTCTGATAGAATGTGTTCCCTTCCACAGTGCACCCCTCTGTATTTTACCCAGAAATATGACTTGTTGTTTCAGTGTATCAAACTGAAGCCTTAATTGATCGTGTTATCACTTACATCATAAGAAAGGAATCTGATGTTTTCAAAATATGTTTGAATTATGAAGTAATAGACAGGTGACTCCTGGCTCCTGAACAAATAGGGTGGAGGGAGGATGATTCATAATTCTTTTTTTGCCTTTTTAAAAGGGAGTGGTGTTTACTGAATGGAAAGGGGAACTTACTGTGAATTCCAAGCACCTTGCCACCATGTGCAATTCTGGCTATGGTATTAATTGCAGGACTTGAAAAGACAACTTAGAATTACTTAATTTTTGCTGTTTTCTCTAATGTCTGTATTTGATAAATACAGTATTATTGCTGACCTTTTTTAGGCCTGTATGTTGCATTTAATGCCAAAATCTTAGTATTTAAACCAGTTTTTCTGTGGGATACTGTGGCTGATAGGAACTAATTGCTAATCATCAAATAGATGAATCTATTCAGGTCTTTGATTTGACTCTAAAGACCTGAATAAGATTCCTTTTCTTTAACTCATAATATGAAGTGATTTGACTTTTTTTTTTAATAACACGTCTTGAAGGTAGCAGTGGCTCATTTTCTTAACCCAGCTTACAGCAACACTCAGAGTGCCTGCATGTGATTGAAAAAATATAAAACAATTCCATGTATCTTTTGACAAGAGGAATAAAGAAATAACAAGGCAGTGAGAAACTCAGCTTCCTGAGGAAGGTCCTGCATATTGATTATTGGCATGACTCTGGGTGCCTCCCCTATCACACTCCATTTTTGATGAAACTTATAATAGCTTCTATTCTAATAGAACACATCTGAAGATTTTTTTGTTTGTTTTTTTGCTTTTTAGAGAAAGGTCTTAAACGTAAACTTTGCATTATGTCACAAATCTGCTGTTCCAGTAGTTCTAATGGCATGTTTTAGAACAGTTTTACTGTTATAGAATTTGGATTAGTTCCAGCACAAATTTCTCCACAGACTTGGCCCTACAGGTGTAACTAGTTGCAACCAAGATGTTCAATCAGGTTGTGCTGTGCATAACCCTCACTCAGAGAGGAGGGAGTGAACTGAAAAGAGAAATGGTGCTACATTGATGGGAGAGGGAAATTGTATTTCATTTGGTTTTCTTGATTACAAGCCTCTCCCCTTTGTCCAGGGCTGTAGTTTTTCTGCTATGAAGGGGAAGAACACACAGCCACCTCTCTGCATCTTCCTGTGTCTGTGGAGTGCCTTCCAGGTATCCATACCTAACTGAGATGTATAATTCTTTTTTATGAGGAAATGTAATGCTGGTGCTATCTTGACTATAAGGCTTGTTTTTGCTGTCAGGCTACCTCTTGAAAGTTGGCTTAAGTTAACGATGTTGAGGGGCCTTGCTTTAAAAGAATAATCCTGAACCTTTTTTTCTAGGAGGTTTTATAATTCTTATGTCAACAAAAAGACATAATACTCTTGTTTTCACTTTAGGGCAAATTGTATGCTTCATGCCAACTTCTTAGTC